TCCCCCCCCCCCCCCCCAAAAAAAAAAAGAAAAAAAAATTGGAGAGGGCTACATTATTGCAGCTATCCCTGGGCGAAACCGATCAACAAAATAAATCTACTGCTGTATTTTCACGAAGTGTTAGTGATCTGTTTTATATCTTTAAATATTAGAATTAGTTAAATTTAGTTGAATAATATACTAGTGTAATTATCATTAATAATGATATTATTAATATAATTATAAAATATAATTCTTTCTTCTACGGAAACCCATGATGGACCTTTCAAAAAATATTTTTAAATTTGATATAACAAAGTGTGGAATTTTTTATAACGAATTTTGATTAGTTTCATCAATTTCTTTGCATTTGTTATACAAGTAACGATTTTAATCCGCTATAACAAATTCGTTGAATTTGTTATAAGAATTCAACTCGTTTTAATAAATTCTATAACCTGTTATAAGGAATAAAATTCGTTGAGGCCAACTTTAAAATAATGTTTGTTTGCCCTCTCCCGACTCAGGATGAACAATTTGGGTCGGTAGGTGGGTGGGATGATTTTTTACAGAAAATTTTCAAATCAATGCTGAATTTTCAAAATCTAATTTCCGGAATGCATAAAATAATAATTGTTTCCTGGAGGTTAAAAAAGTTTTGATTCGGGCCATTTTTAACCAGTCCGTCGGGAGAGGGCAATCAAACAAATTTTTAAAGATGGCCTGAAATGATTTCTTTTATTTGTTATAACAAATTAGATTGTCGCCCAAGTGGCGCAGTGGTTAGAGCGTCTGCTCTAGAGTCGAGGAGTAAGGAGTTGATCCTTACGTCGCGGGTTCGAATCCCACTGTGGGACGTGAAGACCGGTCCTTCGGATGAGACCGTATAAACCGAGGTCCCCTCTCGCAGTAGGTGCTGGCACGAAAAAGATCCCTCACTGCTCAATGGCCCTGAGTGCCGAGTATAGGTCAAAATTTGCAGCTCTCCACCGGCATATGAGTGAAAAATTCTCGAAAGGGACGTTAAACAATAAACAAACAAAACAAAACAAATTAAATTCGTTTAAACGAAATTGACAATTCTTTATATCGAACGCATACATATTTTTCTTTAGGTCTGAAACGTGATTTAACGAGTTTAATCTGTAATAATAAAGTTTAGAATTTGTTTAAACGAATTTAATTTATTATTGCAAATTTTAAACGATTTAAATCTTTCGTGACAAAGTTTTGAATAATTCATTATAACGAATCCAAAAAAATTAATTCGTTATTACGAATTAAATTCGTTTTAACGAATTTGAAAGAACTGCGAACGATAATATTGTTCTCCCGCCTACCTCCAAGTCAATTTTCAAAAGTTAAGATATTCGAATGATTTTTAATATTTATATTGATGTTTATATGGATTTTCATAAAACATTACTTCTTTGGGAAAACAACGAGAGATAACTCTAAAATTTTGGTAAAACTCGTGTTTTTCACTATAGAAATCAACGGAAAACGGAAAATATTTTTAAAACATCTTTCCTCCCCGTGAAACAAAAATTCCTTTTTACGGGTAATATGGACTGTCATTTCACAAATTCATACCAAAGCTTTTTGTGTTTCACGGGGGGAACATATGTTTATATATAAAATAAGACAAAAATGCTTATTTTTTCAGCAATTTCCAAGTGCTTTACAACTGAAACATTATATTTTACCAATATATATGCTTAATTTTATATGCATAAAACATAAGAAAAAGATTTAAGAAACATTTATTCAAACCCAAGACTATTTCAGAATATGGTGATGCTTTATAGCCCGATTTCACTGGAAAATATCGTCTACCCCCCTTATTTCAAGAGCTGGAATTAGGGATATTTTACTATCTAGCACTGGAATTAAAATAATTAATCAATTACAATTGAACTGTTCTTTGTATTAAACAAAGATTTTATGGCCAAATTGTCATCAATATTGAATTAAATGGTTGTAAAATGTAGGCGGGAATCGGGAGATGCCGTGCATAGTTCTTTCATTAATATTTTTATGGGTCCTAAATGGGCTTCCGTATTCTTACAATCTAATGTTATTTTCATTTTTTTTTCTTTTTCTAATTAAAGTAGGTGCTATAGATAACTGTAAAATTTCAAAAAAATTCTTTCTTACGATCTAATATTTTTTATTACAGAAATCAAAGGTCGTATGATGGATAATTGTTTCATTTCTCTAAATAAATCAGATCAGTCTGAACTTACACTTCTATTTCTTGTCGAAAATACCCTATATGTAAAACTAAATTTCAACAAATTCCTTCTCACGATCTTATATTTTCAAGTGTATATTATAACTGAAATTTATCGTACTAGTACTCACGATCTTTTATTTACAAGTGTATATTATAACTGAATTTTATTGTACTGGTACCTGTCTTTTGCATTGTTTCTCTGATGAAATGGAGCATGTTAGATGGGTGGATAATGAATTTAAGATAGTAGCTGCATACTGAAATATATAATACACATAATCAATACATATGTGTATATATTTCAATATGCAGTTACTTAAGGACATTAATAGAGTTTCTTAATAAAAAATGAAACAAACATTCCTTTGATTATATTGCAATGATTCACTTTATCATGTTATTCAAAACAACTGAGTGAACATTTTGATACCAAAAAAAAAAACAAAAAAAAAAAAACAAACAAACAAACAAACAACCCCCCCCCCCCCAAAAAAAAAAAAACAGAAAATTCTCTTTATATAAGTCATGCGATTTCTAACATTTCAAATTATTGAAATAATATATTAGAACGGTCACAATCAATACATATACTTCTACTAGTATTACATTTTAATGACCTTAAATGTACTTACATGCATATAAATAGTATTGGTCTCGAAATCTGATTAAAAACATTATCTTGTACGATCTATAGGGGAAATCTATTTTAGAAGCAATGTACAAGTGAGTCTTACTTTCCTAAATTTGAAATATTGTCAATTCATATTTGAAATACATTTTTTTCTTTGATTTTAATAGTACATTGCTTTTGAAGTTCATAACTTGATTTGTAAAATTAACCTTTTTAATATTGAACATTTTTAATAGATCAATGACGTATTTGAGTACACATTTCTATATTTTAACAGATTTCAGTTTTTTAAGCTGATTTTCGCAAGTTTACTGCTATCTGGAGCAAATGCAGAAGTAGGCACAAAAGATTTCCTCAAGAAATTCAAGACGTATAAAGAAGTATGTCGAGGAATGGGCTTCAAGGGAGATAACTGTAAAGGACATGAAAGAGGTAACATGCTTGTCAATAAATGACATATGGAGATAACGAACAGTATTCAAGCTCAAAGTCCATTAAAACAATACAAATCGGGAGCAGATTAAACACGAACCTCAAAAACATCAGAGGTGGGATCAGCTGCCATAGAAGATTGAGCATCCCCTGCCGACCGGTCACACATGCTATGTGCTCCTTGTCATGATCAGTAAATAAAGGAAGAATTCGTCGAAAATTCAGTGTGTAAATAATAGCTTAACAATTAGTATGAAAAACGTCAGTCAGCATATGACTTAATGATAGATTGTGTTTGCTGACAAGGTCATTGTATCGACCATGGAACTTACGAAATAATGACTTTAAAGGAGACTGTTGATATTCTTGTTTCATCAAATTGTTTGTCAATAACTTACTTCTTTTTAGAAATTGTTCATACGTAGAGCATGCTCTTGCGTATCGAATCAACTGAGATATATACACCCCATATGCAGGTAAAAAGGCTTTTTTGCATAAAAAACAGAATGTAGTGCAGGTACGTAGCATTAGAGAGCCAGAGGCGTATCTCCCTTTCTTCTTTCTGTGTGGGCTAGTGTGAAGTCACAGATTTAACCCGAGGCGCAAAGTGAGTTGGTCGCCCCCTCTCGATAGTTGGAGGGGGGTTGGTTGGATGGAGCATTTTTGAGAACTCGAGTACAATCTGCGATTGTCATTTGACCAGTGAAAACAATATTGTAAACATATTTTCTGTTTATATCATGATATGAAGACCACTTATCAAAACTGAGAACTCTTAATTTTTTTCCTTTCACACTGCTTAGAAAATATATACAGAAATTCCTTACTGAGTTATCCAAATACGAACAGTACGTTTTATTTCCTACAAACCAAAAATATTTCCAGTAATTGATTTAATTTCCTGCTCTGATCATGTACTCCTGTTGCTGTTTTGAAATTGTCTGATACAGACTTGAATTTCGACTTTAAAAAATTCCAGCTATAAGAATTATAGTTTTTTCATTAAATATAAAGTAAAACTGAAAACGTTTGATAGGTTAAAAGCGCCGATGACTAAGAATGCTTTTTGGCACTTGCAACAAAATAGGATTTATTATCAACAAGTTTTTAGTCCTGAGAAAATAATGTGTAGGCTACAGCCTTTCTGCCTCTATAGAATATACACCACTACGGAGGGAGGTTCCTTCTTTCAAACATTACTTTTTAATCTTGAAAATGTTCTTGAAGGCTGGTCCCCCCACTTTTTGTTGAAGTAAAGTCTATCAGGGTAATGTGGTAATAATTTGGTTATGAAAAAAGTTAGACCCCAAAATTGCGTGTTAAAGGGCGGGGGGCCCTTTAACACGAAATTTGACGATTTTCTTTCTTTCTTTTTTTCCAGATAAGATAAAAATAAAAAAATTTTCTCTGGTTCCCCCACTTTCAAAAACGATGCTACACTGAACGTGCCTGATGTATGAATTAAGAATGATTATATTCATAATCTAATTAAAAATTAAATAAACTAAGAATCATAGACCTAATGCATATTTTCTAACATTATTATCTTTTTATTCGAATATTTTGAAAAGTTCTGAGCTTAATTCAAATCCTCTCAAAAAGCTAAGTTTTAGTTTAAGATTGTCTGAAAAAAATGTACTTAACTTGTAAATAAACTGCATGACACAATCATTGACAAAAACATATTTTCTTCCAATAGCAATAATCTCATTTCATGCCCGAATGGCAAGTGATCTGCAGAACCTCGGAAATAATGCTGTAGTTGTATTTGGAAAAGTTACAGAAAATTCTGGATCTGCCTATAATGGTAAAACAGGAAAATTCACGGCGCCTAAGGATGGAATTTACTCATTTTCATGGAGCATTCTAACAAGACCTGGAAAGATATTTGTCACTTATATTGTTCTCAATGAAACTAGCAATGTCGTGGGATACAACTTTGTCGACGGAAGGAGTGGGGGTCAAATTTATTCAACAGGATCCACCACAACAGTTATAAAAATGGAGAAGAATGACAAGGTCTGGATAAGAACAAATGGAAAAGAAGGGGAATTCGCTTATGGTAATTGGTCCTCGTTTTCTGGTTTTAAATTGTCATGACTTTTAAAGGAATGATAATAAAAAAAAAGAAAAGCTAAATGCTTGGATTTTGTAGAAGTTTTTCTGGATGATGAATGCCGTAATGAATCTATCGTTTCTGATGCTAGTAAATTTATTCCATCAGGATGCAGAGATCAAAACCTTGATAGATTTACTGAACATGTTTAAAAATTCCCCAGTAGCATGTTTGCATGTTTCTTTAAAACTGAGTAACACAACATTGAGAAAAATGGGGTCAAGGTCAAAGGAAAGGTCAAGGTTAATAAATGTTGATAAAGTTGAAAAGCTTATATCTTTATGTATCAGCAAATAAGGTTTGATAAAAATATCTTCAATAATTCATTCGAAACTGAGCTATAACACTCATTTAATTATGAAAAGTGAGGCCAAAGTCAAAGGAAAGGTCAAAGTCAAAAAATGTTGATGCAGTTGAATATCTCTCATCAAAATGTATCAGCATATGAAGTTTGATGAAAATATTTTTTAATAGTTTCTTTGAAACTAAACAAAACGCAAAATGTGACAGAAGGACAGAAGGAAGTAGTATAGGGACAGAACATGAGAAATCCTATTTGCCCTGTCTTACTAATCAATATAAGAAGCTGCAGAGATAAATAAATGAAAAATCAATAGTTTTTTAAATAAGTAATTTACTAAAAATCACTCATACTAGTATATCTAATTTTCTTGTAAAAAATATATTCTTATACATGTAAATATTTGAAAATTCATACTACATGTATATCATTTTTATAAATAAACACAGTCACATTTAAATTATATAAATATAAAGTAAGTGCCTACCACATATATTGTTTAAATAAGAAAACATGATAAACTACTGGAGATTCCTTATTATACGCAAGGACTTAATTATCGCTTAATTTCGCGAGAAGCACCAATCGCAAAATAAATTTAGTCGCTTTCTAAAATTTTTATAGTTCTGAAATCTATGAAAAATCTCTGGATCAACCGTCAACTTGAAATTATTGTTCTCGCGATTTGATGTCTAAGGGCCATTTCTTGATATTAAGCACTCGCCTAAATTAAGGAATCTACAGTATACATACATATATCATGATCAGCCGATATACCATCTTCATTAAAAGTCATTTGCTATCAATTTTATTGCATAGAAATTGTATAAGACCTCAAACATCACACTTGTTTTCTTTTCATAAAAATACAGATAGATCTAGGTCGTTGTTATCATTAACATGTTCTGCAATAAACAGATGAGTGTATAAAGCATTCTGGTCTCCTATTCTGAAGAGTTATTTTAGAGAATAGTTGAAGTGGTTTCCAAATCTGTCCCGTATTCTTTTGTAAGCAAGGTTATCCATCACATTATTCACTCTTTTTAAAGCAGACCTGCAATATCATTTACAGAAAAAAATCAAATACAGATATTTATCAGTAACACACTGGAATCGTCACATTTCCTGAAAGTTCAATGTTCTTGGATTTCTATGTTAGGAATGGACAACCTAAGCATTGATATACATTCAATGTATGGTAATTATCTTTCATGGTGAAAAAAGACTCTTGCCAGCATTTTAAAAATTCCTAGAAACAGGTACACTTCTAAGAATTCACAAAATGAACCCCCCAAGATTCAAATGATTCCACAATTTTATGCAGAGCCAATCAGTTACTGTTCGGGTGTATGTGTTTAGTTAATGTTTCTCACAATGTTTTGCACAAATTTGTCCTTTTTACAATATTTGAATTAAAAAAACTGGAGACCAACACTGTAAGGAAGATTCTTATGCGTGGATACCAAATGGTATTCAATAGGGGTTGTAACTAAGGGTGTAAACTTAAAGATATAAAACAGATTACCAACACTTCGTGAGAATGCAGCAGATTTATTTCCTTGACCGGTTACACCCAGGGACAGTTGTCATCAGAATATGGTTCCCTTTGACATGACACTATTTCCCTCAGCGGCTTTGCCACCTCGGGAAATAGTTATAATTCTTCCCTCGGGGAACCACATTCTGCATTGTCACGAAGTGTTGGTGATCTGTTTTATATCCTTAAATATTAGAATTAGTTAAATTTAGTGGAATATACACGTGTAAAATATCAAATATAATACCATTACAATCTGTAAATTGTGCTTACTTATTGAGGACTCCTTTCTCTAGTCGTGTCCTGGACGTGTTCTCCACGATGTTGATGTCCGTTAAGTTGAAATATTTTGGTTCTTTCTTTTTCTTTCCCTTTCCTTTTCCTTTACCTTTTGTAGAACCTAGGTCTATCCCTAGAGCAGCCTCAATGTCAGCCTGTAGTTCTGGGTCCTGCCAATCACTCACTCCTTCTACAGTTAAATAAAAGAAATTTATAAATCAATGAATAAATTCTGTACTTCCTGAGACACTCAGTAATCATTAAAGTCATATATGGCGTTTTTTTTTTATATGTTCAGTCTAACTTAAATTAAAAAGATCTTACTATTCGTTTTATTACTTTATATAAAGATAGGAATCTCCTGTAAATTACACAATATAAATCAATCTCGTTTCAAAGATATTAGAAATTTAAAACAATAGCCGATTTATTTACCGACTCCGCATTTAGTAAACAGACACAGTTTAAAATCAATTTAATTATGGAAACATGAAGTTATTCAAGTTCAAAATCGGCGAAAATTTTTATTTGAACGTAAATAACATATATCACGTTTATCTTCACCCAATCTCGTCTTTTTATTTTTTAGATCGGACACGCCATATATAGCTTTAATAATTTATCGTTATGAAGAATAGATATTATTATGATATCTAGAATTATAACGTTCAATATTCCACAAAACAAGTAATTTTAAAGTAGCCCTTTATAATTGCAAAATCCAAACTTTTTTGTGGAAATGCATATACTGCAGACACCTTATTTTCACAAAAAAGCCATTTACTCTTAATCAGCGAGACAAAATTTTCACGAATTTCGGTTATTGCTCTACATAATCTTTTAGAACTGCAATAATTATATGCAAAAATGAAATTTTGGCAAGCACTCTGTCTTAATTACTCGAAAATAAAGTTCTTGCAAAAAAGTTATTTTCAGTACATGAATATTAAAAGATCAGACTTAGGCCATGACCTTAAAAACAACACAATACAGACACATGTACATAATTGAAATGTGTAGGTTTTGTCAAACTTACCCTCTAATAATCTCTGAGTACTAGTAGATGGTTTGTCTTGGTGCTCTGCATTAGCTGCCACTCCATATTCATCTCTGGCAATAATTTTACCATGGAAAGGACACTGTATGTGACAAAAGCATTACTTGTATTTTGTAACAAAAACTCAGCAAGAATTACTTCCTAGGAATGAAACTTAATTTTAGTAAATAGTACTATCATTATACATCCACAGCTTCAACAACATACCAGATATACATTTGTAAATTTTTTTTATTTCATTGCTAAAATATACATATAGCATTCAAGTTCTCATAATATCAATACAAAAATATGTACGATTTCATATTTAATGGTATTTGGCTATATCAAAGACATATTATTGAAATGTTTTGTGCTTTAGTTTTTCCCATGAGAATCGGACAACTACTGAAATTGTGCACTACATACATGAATATAGAGTACATGTATCACTAATTGTATGATAAATTAGTATATCAAAGTCATAATTAGAATGTATTGCTAAATACAGTATTTCTTTGGCAATCTAACTTTAATTAGATGTTTAATCCACTCGCATACTCGCTACTCTAAATAAGTGGAACGAGTATGTGAGTGGATGAAAATCATGTACGGTATGAGTTGATCTAACATTGCACATATATAATGGTAATGAACTACCAATATTTTGAGATTCTAATACTGTATACCAATAGAGCACCTTTTACTCTCAGCCTCGGCCTTGATTCTCTTGAGGTTGGCTATCATGACTGTCGAATCTTTCTCATCATGTTCCAGTAACTCATTCTGAATACCCAAAGAAGCCTTCACAAATGTACTCTTGGTCCCAATACCTGAGGTGCGGGGTTTGACTGATGCACTGGTGACTGTAGCTGCTGGCGTTGGGGAGTGGGGGGGATTTCTTGCTTGAGGAGCCTGACCCAGATGCCACATTAGTATTACACACATATATTATAATGACATGAATTTCAATAACATTTATTGGTACATGTAGCGTGTACATGTATATTCAATCATAACACTTCATTTCTGATAATAACTGTACATCATTCTGTTATAATACTAAACTAAGACTTTATTTGAAAATCTTACTCGAATCTTTCTTGAAGTGTTCAGGATCATCTGCTTCAAATCCTGCTTTCTCTGGCACGTCTTCAAATGCATCATCCCTGTCATCTAAAATAAATCAATATAATTATCACGTCATTATCATCAGCTTTCTATCTGTTTATGAATTCTGTAAAAATATATAAATTGGTGTACTAAAAATTTAGCATTGTCTTCCTCATCAAAATTTTTGTTTGTTTGTTGTTTAACATCCCTCTCGAGAATTTTTCACTCATCTGGAGACGCCACCACTTGCCGATAGAAGGCTGCAAATTTATACCTATACTCGGCACTCAGGGCCATTGCGCATTGAGGGATCTTTTTCGTACCAACACCTACTGCGACGCGAGACATCGGTTTATACGGTCTCATCCGAAGGACCGGTCAGCATGTCCCCCAGTGGATTCGAACCCGCGACTTAAGGATCAGCTCCTTACTCCACGACTCTAGAACAGACGCTTTAACCACTGAGCCACGCGGGCGATTCCTCATCGACTAATCATAATTGTAATCATGAATTAGCATACTTGCAGCAAAGCTTCTATACGTATTTGTTTAAATCTTATACATTTATTGGTGTTTCTTGAATTAGCAAACAACAATCTGCAAATGTGCTAAAATATGATTACCGCTAAGTAAGAACATTTACAGAAGTTATTAACAGAAATAAAGTATATAAATCTTACCATCTCCATTCTTTGTTTGCTCCTCTAGGGGTATCACTTTCAGATCATCAAACCGATTCTTTGTTTGCTAAAGCTGAGATTTAAGGTCGATGACTCTTTTCATGTCGTCCTCCTTACCTCCATGTTTTGAAAGTACCTGGATCAATAACATAAGAAAATTTAGTGCAACAGAAAAATGTAGAGCTGCCACAAAAACATTGATTTTAAAAATCTGAAAGACAGTTAAGTCAAAAAATAATTTTCGAAGTGTGAAACAAGAACTGATATACAATTTAAAACTTAAAAAATGTTATATAAATCACAAGCAGCATTAATGAGAACCAAGTATCTGTGCATATCCAATTATGTCAGGAGGCATCACTGGAAGTGTTGCTCCCCCTGAGCATGAAAAACTTTTATTAGTATATGATTCTCTGATTTTTATTTTGAAAAATAAAGACACAAGAACATTTTTACCAAATAGTTTTATCATTATAGGGTCTGTCTGTGTTTCAGATCTATATTTCTATGGTCAGGAGTGCAACACATTATTTTTTAAAATTTCAAGTTATATGATGAAAAGACTTCTATTCATGCTAATAAACATTCTTTAATTAATAATGATCTATTTGAATAATTTAGTACAAAATTATTGACAGTTTTATTATTAAAATCCTCCTTTTTTCCAATTTTACCAATCAGATGTGTTTTGAACTTTTCTTTGATTTTTTTAATGAATGTAAAAAATAAACACACTGAAAAATTGCAATAAAATTCAAGTAATTCCACCTCAACTTCACTGAAACAACAGAACAAGTTCTGACATGAATTGGGAATAATTCAAGACATAAAGCCATGTTTAAATACTTTTATGTGTTTTATATATGAAGTATTGGACTGTAAATATTGTACAATATCATTACCACTTGCTGTTGCCAACATATTATGAATTTTTGTGTTCTATGGTTTAATTTTTTATTTTGCTACAATCTTCGTCTATCTTTACTAAAGAATAAATTGAAAAAAAATGTTTGATACTATTTGATGTTCAAAAAATTATGCTTATCAACTAATTACAGACATTTTACAGACAATTCAGAGAATAGTTTTCATCACATAACACATATTTTAAAATACAATGTATATGAAATATATGGAGATAACGAACAGTATTCAAGCTCAAAAGTCCATAAAACAATGCAAAATAGGAGCAGAGCAAACACGGACCTCCAAACATCAGAGGTGGGATCAGGTGCCATGGAGCAGTGTGCATCCCCTGCCGACCGGTCACACCCGCCGTGTGCTCCTTGTCATGATCGGGAAATAACGGAAAAATCCGTCGACAATTCAGTGTGTAAATAATGGCCTAACAATTAGTATGAAAAACGTCAGTCAGCATTTGACTCAATGATAAATTGTATTTGCTGACAAGGTCATTGTATCGACCATAGAACTTACGAAATGATGACTTTAAATGAGATTGCTGATATTCTTGTTTCATCAACTTGTTTGTCAATAATTTACCTCGTTTTAGAAATTGTACATACGTAGAGCATGCTCTTGCGTATCGAATCAACTGAGAGATATATACCACGTATGCAGGTGATGAAGGTATATTGCTGCATAAGTAATGGAAGTTGACGATTGAAAAGTTAAAGCCATCACGTTTATCATAAAGCTTGGTTGTTAGATTACCATTAACGTCTTTTACAAGTAAAATATCCATTTATATGAAAGAGATGTGTCAGACTCTGTGGTATCTTTTATCTCAAGCTCACCAGGATATATCGTATCGACATAAGAATGGAAATAGTCATTGTTAATTGACAATACGTCGTCGATATATCTAAAGGTCGAGTTGAAGGCCACAGCAAGTGTTTTCTTCTTTTCATATACAAGATTTTGGACAAATTCTGCTTCATATGAATACAAAAAAAGGTCTGCTAATAACGGGGCGCAATTGGTACCCATGGCAATTCCAATAGATTGTTGAAAGACCTGGTCTCCAAAAACCACATAGATAATGTCAATCAGAAACTCAGGCATCTTTTTAATGTGAACTTCAGAGTACTTGTGTGTACAATCAGAATGTTTTTTAACAAAATAATTTTGCAAATGACCAATTACAAGGTAAGTAAAATTACGAGTTCCATTTTTATTAAAAAAAAGCAGCTGTCAATGATATCAAAAAGCCTGGACTTTACTAGTAAGGTCCAGGCTTTTTGATATCAGTCCAATACTTCATATATAAAACACATAAAAGTATTTAAACATGGCTTTATGTCTTGAATTATTCCCAATTCATGTCAGAACGTGTTCTGTTGTTTCAGTGAAGTTGAGGTGGAATTACTTGAATTTTATTTTAAAGAAAAGTTCAAAACACACCTGATTGGTAAAAGTGGAAAAAAGGAGGATTTTAATAATAAAACTGTCAATAATTTTGTACTAAATTATTCAAATAGATCATTATTCATTAAAGAATATTTATTAGCATGAATAGAAGTCTTTTCATCATATAAGTTGAATCTTTAAAAAAAATGTGTTGCACTCCTGACCATAGAAATATAGATCTGAAACACAGACAGACCCTATAATGATAAAACTATTTGGTAAAAATGGTCTTGTGTCTTTATTTTTCAAAATAAAAATCAGAGAATCATATACTAATAAAAGTTTTTCATGCTCTTTTTTTTTTATCCAATTCTCTATTCTTTTGCAGCTTTAGGAATTTTAACTAGAATGCATGTACAATATGATGATATAAGTGAAAAATATGTTATAGGTAGTTGATTTTTTTTAAAATTCAACTTGGTGGTCATTATTTTTGAATTCGCCGATAACTTAGTTTTACTGTACCTGTAGCCAGAGAGTTGGGACTAGGCTGGTGTTTATTACTGATCAGCTGGTAGTGATCCTTTAGTGTGTTATAATTTACCTGTAGCCACCGTGTGACACTAGGCTGGTGTTTATTACTGATCAGCTGGTAGTGATCCTTTAGTGTGTTATAATTTACCTGTAGCCACCGTGTGACACTAGGCTGGTGTTTAGTACTGATCAGCTGGTAGTGATCCTTTAGTGTGTTATAATTTACCTGTAGCCAGCGTGTGACACTAGGCTGGTGTTTAGTACTGATCAGTCGGTAGTGATCCTTTAGTGTGTTTAGTACTGATCAGTCTGTAGTGGTCCTTTAGTGTGTTATAACTTACTTGTAGCCAGCGTGTGACACTAGGCTGGTGTTTAGTACTGATCAGTCGGTAGTGCTCCTTTAGTGTGTTATAACTTACTTGTAGCCACCTTGCGACACTAGGCTGGTGTTTAGTACTGATCAGTCTGTTGTGATCATTTAGTGTGTTATAACTTACCTGTAGCCACCGTGTGACACTGGGCTGGTGTTTAGTACTGGTCAGTCTGTAGTGATCCTTTAGTGTGATATAACTTACCTATAGCCAGCGTGTGACACTAGGCTAGTGTTTAGTACTGATCAGTCGGCAATAAGGTCCTTTATTATGTTATAACTTACCTGTAGCCACCATTTGACACTAGGCTGGTGTTTAGTACTGATCAGTCGCCAATAAGGTCCTTTATTATGTTACAACTTACCTGTACCCAGCGTGTGACACTAGGCTGGTGTTTAGTACTGATCAGTCGGTATTGGTCCTTTAGTGTGTTATAACTTACCTGTAGCCACTATTCTACACTAGGCTGGTGTTTAGCACTGATCAGTCGGTAGTGGCATTTAGTGTGTTATAACTTACCTGTATCCAGCGAGTGCATTAGAGTGATTAGAGTGATTGTTCAAACTTACGGAATCAGCCGAGCTTTTTCGAATGTTATCATAATGCGACAGTATCATAATGCTGTTGTTGTCTTTGGAAAAGTAATTGTATTCATATATTTTATTCGTATCCAATAGTTTTCTTTATTTTCAAACAAAAGTAAATGGAGAGGGGGTATGATAGAAAATTGTTTCATTTACCTAACTAAATCTATTTCTTGCTGATTTGCCTAACATGACACATCTAAGTAAAACTTAATTTGAATATAATTCTTTCTTACAACTGATATATTTTCAATTTTATTTTAATCAATAGAGGGGTGATAGATAATTGTTAAATTTCAAACAAATTCTTTCTTACGATCTAATATTTTTATTGCAGAAATCAAAGGTCGTATGATGGATAATTGTTTCATTTCAATCAGATCAGTATGAACTTACACATCTATTTCTTGTCTAAAATACCCAGTATGTAAAACTAAATTTCAACAAATTCCTTCTCACGATCTTATATTTACGAGTGCATATTATAACTGAATTTTATCGTACTAGTACTCACGATCTTAAATAATAACAAGTGTATATTGTAACTGATTTTTTTTTTCGATCTAGTACTCCCGATCTTATATTTACAAGTGTATGTTATAACTGAATTTTATCGAACTAGTACTCACGATCTTATATTTACAAGTGTATATTATAACTGGATTTTATCGTACTAATACCCATGTCTTTTGCATTGTTTCTGCGACAATCTGGAGCATCTGAGATGGGTGGATAATGAGCTTAAAAGAAAATGGGGGAACAAGGCATGCAAAATGCCTATAGCTTTAAATGTGTAAAAGTCATATTCAATTTGTGAATTTAGTATTTAAAGTAAAGTTCTTTTCATTGAAAGGTAGAAATTATGACAAACAAAACTTTTATGCGGAAAACTCTTTCGGCAAAAATCATTCTATGATCTAAAAAAGGAGTGGTATTCTTGGGGTTTTAACCCAAACAACAATAATAATCCTGAGTTTCAATTTTGCCTTCGAGATTAACACACTAACCACTAAGCTATACCCTTCACACCAAACTTGGGCATTTAAATCGTTTGTGGTATGACCCTTGACTAAATGGACTTCAAACTTTTCTCGGAAAGATACAAATTTAAGTTGTGCCCTAAATATATATGTGTATTTTTAAGATATAATAGGTCTTTGCTTCATGTTTTTGATAACCAGAGAAAGTATATTTTTACACATATTTTTACACATACTTTGGGTATAATCCTATCATAAAAAAATGGAGCGAAGACCCAATTATATGGAAAAATTGTGTTTTAGTATGAAGAATGATCATTTTTGCCTTCTTTGGTATATGTATGCTATTTCATGGAAGAATAATTTCAATCTTGGTGAGATTGTTGCGGTTTGTGGAGATTTTACATAAAGTATACATTAGTATTAAATGAAATATCAAAGATTTGTTCTAATTGAGATTTAATTTTTCACTTTATTTGTCGCACAATAGGCATTTCACTTGCCTTGTTCGCCCATTTTTTTTATATCGAGGACAGAAGCTGCATATTGAGCTATATACATTTTTTGTAATACGTATGTAATCAATATATTTATGTATATATTTTTTTCAATATGCAGTTGTTTTAAGATATTAATAGAGTTTCTCGATGATAAAAATGAAACAAACATTTCTTTGATTATTTTGCAATGATTCGCTTTATCATGTTATTCACAATAACTGAGTGAACATTTTGAAACAAATAAACAGAAAATTCTTTTACATAAATTGATGTGATTTCTTATATTTCAAATGATTGAAATAATATATCAGGACATGCAGTTACAATGAATACATATACTTTAACTCATATTACATTTTAAAGATCTTAAATGTATTTACATACATTTAAATAGTACTTTAAATCTGATTATATACATTATACTTTGTGAATCCCTTTGAGAAACAATGTACATGTAAGTCTACTCTTACTTTCATATATAAGTATTGATTAATATACATTTTCTTCTTTGATTTTAATAGTTTTTGAAATTCATTACTTGATTTTTAAAATTAATTTTTTTTAATATTGAACAATTTTAATAGATCACTGATGAATTTGACTTCATATTTCTATATTTTAATAGATTCCACTTTTTGAAGCTGATTCTTGCAAATTTCCTGCTATCTGGAGCGAATGCAGAAGCAGGCACAAAAGATTTCCTCAAGAAATTCAATACATATAATGAAGTATGTCGAGGAATGGGCTTCAAAGGAGATTACTGCAAAGGACGTGAAAGAGGTAACATGCTTGTCACTAAACAAAATGATGTGCAGGCACGTAGCATCGTTTTTCAAACATTACTTTTTACTGTTGAAAATATTCATTGACGGCTGTTTGCTCCCCTTTTTTTGTTGAATCAGGTTAATGTGATAATGTATGAATAAAATTTGATTATGAAAGAAGTTGGAACCTACCCCTACCCCCCTCCCCCCCACCTCCACCCCAACATGAAATAGAATTTTTGAGTTTGGACGATTTTCTTTCTCTCCTTTTTTTTTGGGCAGGGGGGGGGTCATTTTTTAGGTGAGATAAATTTTTCTTCTTTGCCTTTCAAAAATGATACTACGAACCTGATGTGTGATACGTGATTATATTTATAATCTAATAAAAAATTTAATTCGTCTGAAAAAAAAAAAATAAAATGTACTACAAATTGTTTACTTAAACTCGTAAATAAACTGACACAATCATTCACAATAGCATATTTTTTTCATTAGCAATAATCTCATTCCATGCCCGAATGGCAAGTCATCTGCAGAACCTCGGAAATAATGCTGTAGTTGTATTTGGAAAAGTTACAGAAAATTCTGGATCTGTCTATAACCGTAACACAGGGAAATTCACGGCGCCTCAGGATGGAATCTACTCATTTACATGGACCATTCTGACGACACCGGGAAAGCAATTTAATACAAATATTGTTCTCAATGATACTAGTAATGTCGTTGGATACAACTATGTCGACGGAAAGGGTGGGAGTCAAACTCATACAACCGGATCCGTCACAACAATTATAAAAATGAAGAAGAATGACAAGGTCTGGATAAAAACGAGAGGAAAAGAAGGGGAATTTGCTTATGCTGATTGGTCCTCGTTCTCTGGTTTTAAATTGTCTTGATTTTAACGAAATGATAATTAAAAAACTGTACAGTTCTTACGTTAACTTCATCTCGAATGAGCAGCGTAGCATATGCTTTTTTTAAACTATAAAACTGACAATTTATATATAATAGATGTCCAATCTGATTTTCCTAAATGCAATAGAGCTTTGCCGAAGTTTTTTTCTGGATATGGAATGCAGTGATGAATCTAATGTTTCTGTAATTATGCTAGTAAATCTAATCTTTCAGGGTTTAGAGATCAAAACCTTGATAGATTTATTGAACACGTTTAAAAATTTCCCAGCAGAAATATTAAGATAAAACAACTAGTCTTCTAATACTTTAATCAGAAAAAATAGGTTTGACTGCTGTTGAAAATTTTAAGAAGATGAAAACATTGTTATAAAAGAAACTAAGGGAGTACAGTCCTTGTGATGAATAAAAATTATATAAACTTTAATCTCTTTCAATATTGGAAAATGAATCATACTACAAAAACAGAGAATCAATCTAAAGATATTATGAGAAAAAAGTACAATGAATGAGGAAATTGGACTGACAAGAACTGACTGCACAGGGGATCAGCTCCTGCTATTTATCGTTTATCGTCGGATACCCACTGGTGATGTCATCTTACTCATCACCGGGTGTTGAATAAAAGACGAGATCACCCGTGGGTATCCGACGATGTATACCGTTTGAGGTAAAATAATAAGTACTTTTTATGAACTCGGCGGGAGTGACTGGTCAACAGAGGATTCTTACTCCTCCTAGGCACCTGTTTTTATTCCCTGTTCACAAATCTGTATTGTTTTAAAGAATTACGAGGTCGATAACTGTTCGTTACCTTAATGTAGTATATGATCAGACATGTAGTATCGTTTTTGAATACGCGCGCGTGGGGGGGGGGGGGGCGGGGGGGGGGCGGGGGGGGGGGAGCCGGAAAAATAATGGACAACTCTCGATCCTGAGAAATCTTTGAAGAGGAACATAAAATTAATAACAATAATAATATGTTAATATCAATGATGAAATGAAAATAAAAAAAGAGGTGGAAAATTGATATGGACTTATTACATAGATCTCAGACGTTGGGTATTAAGTAGTTCTGTAGGGTAGGGTATTAACTTGAAGATATTAATGAATTTAATATTGTACAAAAAATAAAGCAGAAGGAACACATGCTTTGATGCGTAAAATGAAATGTACTATCCTCCGT